ATCTCAAAAACTTAAGGTTGAGAAAAAGATCGAGTTTTTCGGCACTAATTTGCATTTTCGATGTCTTGTCGAACGAAATGAAATATTTGAAAATTAACAAAATTGACCTTATGTTAGTTTCGCACTAATTATGCTAAAAATTTCTGCAGCTCTTTTATAGATGTTAAATAGATGGACGATGATTTTTAAAACTCGGCTTTGTTTATACTAATAAATGTATTACTATTAAAGTATATTTATTAGTAAAATAGACCAGTATAAAACACGATGTTACGATTAAAAAAGCTAATATTTTACCTTGCTCATTTTAGTTAGTGGTTGTGCACAGATATCTAACTTGCGAAAGAATACTAGAAGATATGTTTCAAAGCTAGCTTTTACTATATGTTTAGAGTCTACGGATTTCTATACCCCTCACATAGCAACACAGGAAGGCAGATACTAAAACATTTCAAATAACTGTAGTTAAAATATTCGACACATTTAAAGTTTATTTACCTGAGATTAAATAAGAACATTAAACAAAGGTACACGATGAGATAGCAAGTCAGTGGTGTATAGATGATATGTTTCCTCCTCGCTCTAAGAGCAATACGCAAAGAGAGATAACAAAACACTTTAAATAAATGCAACATATCAATAAGACGCAAGAAAAATGGTCATCAAGTATAGTGGAAACAAAGCAATCGAAGTCATTAGCATCTTACGAGAGAACCTCTCCTTTATTCAAAACATATAGTAAAAACCAGAGCCCGAAACGAGGCAAGTTTTTGCTGCCTCGGTTCGTTTCGCTTCGTCCCATTTTCACCTCGACTCGCTTCGCCTCGTATCAAAATTCAAAAACTGGCTTCGCTTCGCCTCGGAAAAACTGCAAATCGACGTATCGCTAAATTCTGCTAAGCTTTGGGCGGATTAGGCAGTGGAAAGGGTTTTTTACGTGACTTTTTGAACTAGTCTCCATATCTTCTTACCTTTGACACTAATAGGTTTAACGAAATTTCTAAGTTCAGACATAGCAAGAAAAGTACGAACCTTCTCGGAACAATCACTTCAATCAACATGGCTTCACAACGAACTACAAGTTGGCTCTTGATATCCTCCGACTGCTTCAGTTCAGTGATAGAACATGGATTTCCTTGTTGAGTTCTTTGCGCTATTTCGCGCTTCCTGATACGTTTCTCGGTATTTTTCGGCATCCAATCTGTTTCATGGCGAACAATGGTTTCTTTGATAATCTTAATTTTCCGAGGTGCACTTCTCTAACCCGCTTCGCTTCGCCTCGTCGTTCTCCCGCCTCGCCTTGCTTCGACTGAAATTTTCAAAATCCTGCCTCGACTCGCCTCGCTTTGTCCCAGACGAAGCGAAGCGCCTCGACGATTCTTCGCTTCGTTTCGGGCTCTGTTCTGCGTTGAAGACTGAATCTAAAACTGTAGTTTTCCGTGAATTACTGACACCTTACTTTACGTATATAAATTACATGTTGGAAGTTGAAAGATTCGAATCGAAACTCTCAACAACGATTTTTTCCTACTGTTGTATAGCGAGTGAATACGTACAGCGCTTACAACACAAAAGTGGACGGTTTTTTGTTCACATAAAACTTTTGACTCAGAAGAACGCACACACATGTGTACACGCTCGAATTTATCCAATCAGACTTTACAAAAGCTTTTCCACTCAATCATGAATTCACCGTAAATGTGTCATGAACAATGATACTGATCCTTAGTATCATTTCTTGTTCTGCTTCCTTGTCAAGCTTTAATAACTTGTTTACCAAGCGAAGAGAATGTTGTAAGCAAAATACTTGCATATTTATGTGAAACGGAGGTTGTTTACATACGAGTTATGCAGACGAACAAAAGAGATGATGAACTTCTGGGGCACATGCACACGAAAAACTGCCTGAATCGGCCAAACTTTTCCACTCATAAAAGGAAAAAATTACAGAAATCGTAAGGAATCTGACCATTTCTCTGAAAAAATTTCAAAACAATCTGACTAAGATAACTTTTCTACAGGAAAGAAGTGTTTCTTTGCGAATGTGTACGAAAACATTTACATGTTTCGGCTATACCCAGGCGTCAGAAAAAATCTAGTACCGCCCGATTTATCTAGATTACTAGATTTTTACTCGATTGCAACTATTGAGTGACGACAGTGAAAATCCAGTTATCGGGGGATTGCTACATTTCATCTAGTTGCAACTATCGACCTATCGCCCGATAATCGATCGATTTAACTATTGCTAGTTGCACATGCAGACTCATCTAGTTAAAAGTCCCTTTTCCAAGTAGTAATCTAGATGGCAACTAGTCATGTATCGCCCGATTACAGACGAAATGTATCTAGATCTTTCCCATAGGTGATGTTTGCTTGGGTACTTCGGATCACAGTGGAAAAATTTTCGTGTCCGTTCGGGTTGGGTCGGGTCAACATATAAGATATTGATTCGGGTCGGGTTCGGGTCAACTCACGTTCGGCTCGAGTCGGGTTCGGATCCCGTTTGGTTCACCCGTTTCGGTCTCTGGTATTTACATAAATATTTTTTAGTTAAAATGATTTTTGTTACATTTTCTATGATGTTTTGAAATACAATTTTTTAACTATAGCCGCGATGGTTGAACACTTGAACATTCGAGAATAAATAAAATGAATGTCATCCATTTCTAGCAGTTCAGTTCACTGGTTCAACAGCAATTCCACAGTTCTCAGTGCCTACTGAGACTTTTTTAATTAATAGGTTTGGTACTTTCAGTGAAGACCGGTTTCGAATTCTTCTTCAGTACATTGAAAAGCAAGGGCAAAAAACTACAGAAAACGCCTGTTTTCATATACAAAAAGTGTAAGACATATGAAGAAAGAAGCAACGTAAAGAATGTTCTTGTATGGTCCGATTGTTCTGATGAATAATCATTTACAACGAACATGTATTAATTGTGATTGCCTAATCATTTGTCATTAATTTGCATGATCGTTTTGTGAGTATGCAATAATTTTTCTAGAAACTTATTTGTCTCCTTTGAAGTCTTCAAACTTCTTTCTCAAAATTCCAAGGCGCTTGTAATTCCTCCAAAGTTGTCGAACTTTCTCTGGTATGAAGAACATTAAAGAAATTTGTCTAAATTTCTGGAAGTAGTCAAACTTTCTTTGAATTCCTTGTTGCCTAACAATTTTGTTTTCTAGTTTGATATTTGAAGTCAAGAAAGAAATGTTTTCAGCACTACGCCATTTGTACTAACAAATTTTGCAAACCTATCTAGTTTTTTTCATTAAAACATAGAACCTCATTCACAAGGCATTCAAATCGCTGATTCGAACGCAACAAGAATATGGTTCGCTTTTATTAAAATTTCTTTCCAGAGCTGAAAAATTTATGAATCTAAATCCAGCGCTGAAAACCTAAACCAGAGGCAATACAATCAGTTTCATGTACGAGATGGATCAATAAAAATCCTCAACAGCATCACATTTCCTTGGTTCGAACGAGAATTTTAGAGAAAGAATGGCTGATGGTCAATTTTCGGTACTGAGAACCATTTCGTGTTTTCAGAACAAAAATACGTTAAAATCAAGGCCTTTTGAGTATAAAACTTCAACTGCTTCTCCTTTGAAGATATCGAAGGAGTTTCACAAAAAACAAATCCCCAGCTAAAACACATAATGTCTATCGACATAACTAAACGCCATATCCAAGGTCCATGATCTCAATGGCCGTTCCGTTGAGGGAACCGGTTGTTTTGGGCGCTGATGGTAACGGCACAGATTAACACCGCAAGCAGACGGAAGTGCACCGAATCTTATGAAAAAAAAAGTTTTCTCTCAGTGTATAATCATTGCATACTCTTTAGCATCGGTGAAGGATATAAAAAGACGTTTACGGATTTCTGTAGAGGTGGTATAAGTCTAACCTAATGCTTGTGTTTATATTGACTTTTTTCGAAAAAAAGTAGCGTTACTCGCCAGGAGGCGGTGTGAAGAAAACTTTGGAATTATTATTATTGAATTCATGAACAGCTCTTGTTCAGAATGGTCTTCGATTTATTATCTGTATACGTTGTAGATGATAATGTTGCATTATCACAAGACTTCTTACGTTAATTGTGAGTGACGTGTCATTTCAGATACTACACACCAGTGCTTGAATTCGCAACTAGTAAATGTCTTTGACAGAAAGAAATACCACTACGTTGTAGGCAACAGTAAATGACAACTAGCAGACTGGCTGCAAGTGAGTGAAGAGAAAAATGGTAAACAAGGAAGTAATCGATGCAATTAGAGAGGAGAGTAAATGCTTGTTTATTGATTTTCCAACATCTTATGGAATGTTTTTTTATCAGCTGGGTAACCTAGTTCTATTTTATCTATTGAGATACTAAACTTGAAATGTTTGTCGCATTATTTCGAAACAAAACCTTCATTGGCATTAAAGCATCGAAGTATATCATTACTAAATCTATCATCTGTTGTACGTGTCCTATGGATTAGTGACATTCAGTTTTTCATTTTAGTTTAGCTTAATATTTTAACAACTTCTTCAGCGGTATTTTTGTATGAAAGAATAGGACTTACTTTTTATCTTTGAAATCATCTGGTTAACTGACTAGGGAATTAGCGAAAGCATAAGTTGAATAGCAACTTCAATATGCTTTTATAAAATCCCGTCTTGTCTAATCGTTTCCAAATCTCCAGCGTACATATTCCAGTAGCTTTAGTATAGATTAACTAAATTCTTTGCATTAGAAAACAGCGTGTCAGTTAAACATAATGAGATACATTTTTGAATTGATTATACATTAATGCTACATCGTATTGGTACTTTTTCAGCGTTTCTATACCTTGCATATAGTTATGCAAAGACGTAGCAAGTGTGTGGTAAATTGCTCTCGTTAAGCAACTGAAAAGGACTAAACTTTGTATTAGAATCCACTGAAAGATATTTTTATAGTCTGTTATCTGTGGAGAAGGAAGCTTATTTTTCAAAGTGTCCGTTGCACATCTCACTTCTCAGGTAGCATATTGCTTAGCATTACCTGTTGAACAAGATTTGGCTTGTTTACTAATTCAAGCATTTCTTTTGATGACTCAATATCGCCAGGTTTTGATTTTAATACTTCCGATTTGTAACAATTAATTAATGCACACGCTATTGAATGATAAATCTTTAGATCTTTAATTGACGAGTTCTGAAATGTTTGTGAAAATAATTTGAATTGTTTTAACTGAGCATTAACCATTTCTACGACCGATCTGATTTTGGTAATTAAACGCGATTTGTTGACTTCAATAGTTGTGAACTGCTTCCGCTTTCTTAGAAATGGCGGCATAGCAACATGTAATCCCAATGCAGGCATTACACCAACACAATCTCGGAAACCACGGCCTACCACGAATGTATCATCCTACGTAAAATAAAATGGCAGAAAGTATCAATGATACATATCTTTAAATAAATCATTTCCTTTTACTTCGAAAATTCAATCTAATATTTTTTTGGTATTGTTCAAGAAAATATCTTTCATCATAGATGCATAATTATTACTAAAATCCGATAAATATGGTCTAATACAAGAAACAATGTAGCCTGAAGTTGTAACAATCATCATTGGTTTTAATAAGCTTCGATGTTTATGCAAAACTCGGTTTGAGATACCTAGCCGCATTTTGGCAAGAAGGCAAGCCACAGCAGTACGACGTGAACGATACGGGAAATTGCGTAAATTCACTGTTGATAACGTGGTCATTAAATGATCAAATTGTTCTTTACGTAGCCAGTCAAATTGTAATGATCTTTATTCGTTAAGTTCACCATATCGTCAAAATTAAATCGTTTTCATTATTCATCATTATTGTGACTTTTGCTAACAATCCCAGAATATCACCGCAGGATAAGGAAATCCTCCGGATATAATGAGGACGAAGTCGATCAACAGCTTCACGTGTTAAACGACGATTTATCATATGCTGCGCACAACAACGTGTCTACAAAGACATTTTTTGTGAAAAACGAATATAATCGATCTTCCTCACTAACGGTCATTGCTACACCAGAAACCTCGATCTTACAAACACAGCACATGCTAGAGAATAACAAATGGATAGTCTTAGAAGTAGAAGGTTATCAGCTTTTAAGAAATCTCGCATGAAAATAATAGGTCTCGTACTGATGCGAAGATACAGTACAGTTCACTGGGATTTCACAAACATTATTGGTTTGAACGGACTGATGTTGATGATAGGGCTGAACAGATGTACTCATTTCGAACTCGGTTGATCCATTCGAAGATTCATTATCTAGTTCCATTATTTCTGTCTAAATAGAAAAAAACAAACAGAACGCCAAAACTGCTTGAAGAAAAATAACCTACAAGACGTACTTGTTCATAATTATGAGCTTCAACTGGATTTAGTCCTTCACACATTTGTTTTATAATTTAATCGAACTCAGGATTATTACGTTATCAGACATAATATGAATTACAGCAGCGATTACAAATCCGAGAACTCTGCTCAATCGTTTTCAACGTTCGAATCGAAATAAACAGACACATTGGCCGAGAGCGCACAGGACGAACGGCAGTAGCGCGACAGAAAGATTTACAACACGGGCAAACACTAGACATTTTCGAAATAACTACTTGCCTACTTTGAAAATTATGTCTACTATACACTTCAAGGTGTCGACCACTTCGAAAGAAAACGACAAGTTCTGCTTTATAGACCACATTTTGCGTTCAGTTCGACCCAAAACATTTTACGTTATCTTTTCTTTCCTTAAAACGTTTGTTACGTATACGAAATTGCAGCGCCGACTAATATATTTAGATAAAATAACAGCTATATGTCGAGCTATATACTAATTTTAATCTCAACCTTCAAGCTAGTCTGAGGTGACTCACTCTGATTGCATCATGTTCCCGAAGAGAAAACCGGGTAAAACATGATGAAATCCGCGTACCGCATAACGTATTTCTACTTTTAAGCAGACCTACAACACTTTTTTCACTACTTTGTATATATGAAATTGTAGCGCGAGAAATTCTCTAGCGAATGGTATATGTATCGTCGTGGCTAGTGGGCAAGTGTGGACCACAGGTTCATCATCGTTGAACAAAGAAGAGTAGAACTTTGGTTACAGTAAATTCGACCTAGTTTTTTCTGAGAGCATTTCTAAGGTCTGCCGAGTGGCTAGAAATGTTCTCCTGCTCATTTTGCATCTTGTTCGGCTACATGTGTTCGTATTTACCAGTAAAAAGTCGTTCTCCGTCTATCTTTATGTATGGAAATCCAATCGATATGCCAGCCACAGCCTCGCATGCAGCAGCTACCATTTTAAGCGGAACAAAGGCGGAGTTTTTTATCAGCAAATATCAACAGAAAGCCGTTTTAGTAGTCGATGAGGCAATATACGCTGCATTATTGAAGGAAAAAAGAAAAAGACCTCATCAACAACTCTCAGCCACAGCATACGGATGTTTTCTACTGCCGAGAGACTGGCATTTTATGAAAAACATTTTTGGAATAGTTGGAAAACTCATAAGTGGCTCCGGTATGTTATCTCGGGGAAAGTACTCATTGTTCCCTAGGTATTAAAGACTGACGATAAATTTCCCTAAAACGTCTCCGATAGCTATCTTTTGTTGTTCAGCGAAAAAAAGATATTGTCGCTCACCTATAACAAACGTTGTTGCGTAATTTCGAATGAATATTGCTAATACCAATGCGAATAGAGTTCATTTTGACCAAATAAAAGACCTTCCCAAGTTCAGGTTTCGTTCAGAACTGATGAACTGTTCAAAACGCTATATTCAGCGAACTGAACTGGTCGAACAGTTCTTTTGAGCGAGCTGAACTTTTTGAACAGTTCGTTTTGAAAAAGCTGAACTGGTCGAATAGTTCTTCTGAGAGAACTGAACGTCGACTTTGGAAGACCTGTAATTTGGTCTGATATCTGGAAGCCTATCCATAGGAGTACCTAGGATTCGTTCAGCACTGTATATAGTGGTTACGTAGGAATTCTAAAGGTTCATCCACGGAGGCTATGTGTATACAGGTCTGTCAATACATAGATAAAAAAGAAATGAAAACTCTGCAAACCTCCTTGACATATGAAGTAAAATAGTTTTCGTGGGAGCGGATATGTTATCCACAAAACGGAATGGTATACGAAGTACTTAGTACTTTGAAAAAGTTTTTATATTCTCTTAACTGCATTAGGACATAGTCGGTGAGATGGTTTTAGTAAACCGTTCGAATATAGAAGAGTACACCATGAGAAGTGGTATTACTATGCGATAGATATTTTCCCATAATATATAACAATGTTTTGTAATTAAAAAGGACGTGCATGCTATGAAATAGAATACTTTGTGAGTCCACAGTCAACGACATTTGATAGTCTTAAATAAATATGTTTACATGCTAAGATAAGTAATCTAATGGAGATATTAGGTTAAACTCATAATTATTAAATCTATCTAAGACAGAAGTCAGAAAAAGGTTCTCTTCGTTAATTTAACGCACATGTCGGATTACAAAATAATGCATCTTTTTCCTTTCTGCAAATTTATTTGAAACGTCCTATGAGTAGATCTTGGTATACTAGGCCAAATTACAAATCTTTCAAAGTCGACGTTCAGTTCGCTCAAAAGAACTCTTCGACCAGTTCAGCTCGTTCAAAACGAACTGTTCGCAAACTTCAGTTCGCTCGAAAAGAACTTTCGAACAGTTCTTTCGCTCATTTGAACGGAGTATGAGCGAAATATTTGTCGAAAAATACTTTCAAATCTCTCTCTCCCATTTAAGAGAGTTTCTCTCAAAGTTTCTTGTGCCATCGGACTGAGCATGTCTTGAAGTGTATTGTTCACTATTCAAATCGTCTAAAAGTCGATTTTCATTTTTTCACCTGATATCCGGTGGATGCACACGGTAGGGAGTAGGCGTAGGTATGCACCAGTAGTATGGAAAACATAGTGAAAACTCCAGTGACTGACTAAATTGTGTCAGAAAAACGAGTGCTAGCTTTTCTGACATAATTTAGTTGTTTGTGTCTAATGCCATAGAAAAAATCTTTCTAACTCATTTACTGGATTCTCAAATATTTTGCCACTGTCCCTACTGTTGCATGTCTAGGCGACGGCCACAGCGAAAAAACTGGAAGGAGGATTAAATAATGGTGTAATAATTGTCTGTTGTTGTGTATAGGTTGTTAAATCATAAATATTAGTAATTGGACTATTATAAAGTGGTATGTAAAGTAATTTTGAACTTAAACGTGGTACAAATGTTCACTATTCGAAAGTGATACGGTTCTTCGTAGCCCAGGGGACACATTTGTAAAATAAGAACAGCAGATGAATCATCGGTGGTAGTGAAATTTGGAATAAGTTCTCCGACATATGAATATTCATCGTAAAGACTACGCAGAGATAAATTATTGTAATAAGTAGCTGTGCGACATGACAAATCCTGTTGACACGCTAAAGCACAATGCATTAATGATCTGACACCACTTGTTGACGCCAAAAAGTTAGCAAAATAGCCTAATTTATAATATGCGTTTGGTACAATTTTTATATTCATTGTACGCAGTGACTGTGGCCCCATATTTTGACCTTCAATTTCTTTTATTATTATTCGAAGAAGAAGATAGATAATTGTTGTTGTTGCAAGACGAGTTAGTCGGTCCATCTTCTCTGTTTTTAATAAAATAGAAAAAATATTATTCTTTTTAAATTCACTCATCTTTTGTAATGGGTAATTTCTAATATGTTTATGCTTCCTCATTTCTGTTGTTTTTTCTTTTCTTGACTGAGATTGAAAGTTTTAGTTCATAACTGATGTGTTAAAAGCGGTACGTACAGAGTGCTCTTCACTCTCGATTGATTGTCATTCGGAGAGGTTTAAAATAAGGCTTTCCAAATACAAAAAAATCAGATTTTTCGTTTTTCTTTTAAGATATACAACGTTAGTCAAATGCCACGGTACTACGACGTTAAAAAACATCATGAAAAGCGCGTTTCAGTTTTTTTTAATTTAATCCGTTTTTGTTACTGCTGCTGCTGCGACCGACCGATGATGAATCATTCTAAAATCAAATATTTTTAGATTACTGCATGCTGTTGTCAATAATCAAAAGATGACATGCTCCCCTGACAATTGCTTCCTCGCGACACTTGTTCTTCCTGTTTGAATGTAAGATACAAAAAAGCTAAGCAGTATAAAAATCTATCTATTTGTTGTGTCTTTTCAATTCTTTATATGTAGTATAAATTTAACAAGTTAAAACCAGAAGAAGCCGATCTTTTGAACAATCTTGAATTACCAGAATTTATTTAACTTATTATAGGTGTGATTGGAGCAATGTTAGTCTCATTGGTCAAAGAGATCAGTAGTTTTATTTAATGAGAGGCACAGATCTAGAAAGACAACGGAAATTCCGGTTATTCATCCATAAACTCGTCGAAAAATATCAAATACCCGTCACCACTCATACCGTTTCTGAACTGGTAAATATGTTTTTTGTAAACTGTTATTTGTTGTGCCTTCACTGAGCGTCTTAGGTCGAATCAGAGAACTTTGTGTGAAAGTTCAGTAAGGATGAGTCGATGGCTTTTTTAAGCTTGATACAGCATTTTCAGCTTGTAGTTAAAGTATTTTTATGCAGTGCCGAATTCAGACAATTCTCTGCATGATTATAAATTTTGCCGAAAAAATGCGACATTGGCGTTATTATATCAAAAAAAATCCAAACATAAATAGTTTCAATATTAATATTTCAACCTCTGATTTTTCTATTACAAAATCTGCACCGCCACCTGATGTTACAGTTAATTTTTGAAGAAGAACACGATAAGATGATCAAGTGTCTCGACGATAGAACAATCAACGGCAAAACAAAATTAGAAATAATGTCGACTTTTGATAATCGTCGAGATCTGGTGAAAAAATATCGATCATCAAAAAGATCATTTGTAGAAATGTTTCTGTATTTCAAATATTTTAGTGACAAAACTATGGTACGATAAGTTTCCTAGTAAA